GGAAAAAAAGAGATTGTGGGTTTTACATGCTTGAAAATGCTTTATATGTTTGCTTTTATTTTTAAATTTTCATTTGAATACGCTTTATATGTTATGTTTATGTATTTTAATTTTAGATAATAGGTTTTTTAAAACATTTATTTTAGAATTTCAGTTTATATTTTTTATTAACATTATGTTTAATATTTTTTGAATTTTTTGCATTTTTATAATTTTTTGGCTGTTTTTTGAATTTTCTGACCTTTTTTTATATTTTAGCTTTTTTTTTTGTAATTTTGCACCTTGCTTAAAAAGGCGTGCGCCTCGCCTTGAGCCTTGTGCTTTTAAAACACTGAGTGCATTACTGGAGTTCAAACTTTTGTGTACTCAATAATTTAGTGAATAGAATGGCATCTAGAATAACTGACGTATAACAACCATTTTGAAGGTTAGCAACAAGATGAATCCATGTCTAGTCATGTTTAAGCTTAGAAACTTAAACAAAGTGTGAATCAGATCACTCATTGGTTGGTTTTGAAGTTGGTCCAATTTGTTAAAATGTTGTTTCTTCAACAAACTGTGTGGACTGGGCAGATCACTGCATTACTACAGGAGGTCTTACAAAACTATCTAAAGGAAATGTGTGATATTTGGCATTAGAGTATATGATTTAAAGTCTGAAAATCAACTGGCTATATTAAAAGGAAAGTGAAGGAAGAGGAAAATTGGTGACTCTTAAAAAATTAGGGATCATTTATTAAAACGCAATCTAATTGGGGACTTTTGACCGTAGCATATGTTCAAACAAATTAATTAAAAAGAAATAACTGGAATGCCAATTTGAAATAACAGAAAATAAAAAAAATAAAATAGACAATAATAGGGAAATAAAGAAAATAATAACTTCAAAAGAAAAACAAAGGAAGAAAACAGAAAATAAAAAATAAAAATAAAAATAAATACATTTGTTTTTACTTCTGTTATTTTCTTTACTTTTTTATTTACTTTTTGTTGTTTTGTTTTTTAGTATTACTTTCATTCCAAAATGGAAATACACACAAAGGTGCATTAAGTAAAGTGGTTACAGAATAGAGGGGGAGTCTTATTAATATGCAAACTATAGGGTAGGACCAGTAGGTCTTAGTATTTACGTGAAACCATTGGGGGTGTCTTAGTAAATGACCTTTAAAATTAGTATTTATGGATCTATTTAGTGGAATTTAATGATGAGAAAGAGTATGCCTGTTTTCTTTCTTATGCTTTCCATCTATTGATATTGATAGGCTGCATTGTAATATTATGCATGTGTCTATGTAATATATGTTAAAATTCATTGATGAAGTCATCAGTTTGACCTAGAAATTGACCTGAATTACCCTCGTCAAGTTATTCTATGTTTTCTGAAACATCATAGTTAAAAACATGCTGAGTGCTCCTGTTCACCTCAGCATGCGTATTCAATTGGATTTTGAAACATCCCCATTTTTTGTAGATACTATATATCTTTGTAGCTTGTTCTAAAATTTCTTATTTTCTTTAATGGTTTTTAGTTTCATAAGCACAAAAATCTTGTCCAGACATTTAATTTTCAGCTTAACTGAGAAATTTTTGGGTCTGGTGACTCTGGTTTCAGATTTTATCAATTCACTATTTGATAGCTTGTTTGTTATTGTTTGTTCAGCTGGTTGCTCTGATGGGAGCTGTGTTGTTTGGGATTTTCAGACCAGGGGGATAGCTAAGGAACTTCGGGATAAAGATTGTGTTTCTCCCATAACAAGTGTCTGTTGGTCAAAGTATGGTCACTACATACTTGTGTCTGCCACAGACAAGTCCTTGACACTTTGGGACGTTGTGAGTGGTGAAAAGGTTACACGTACAACTCTGCATCAAACTACATTGCATGCTTGTCTGCATCCTGGTTCCAGCACTCCCTCTGTCTGCCTGGCATGTCCACTCTCATCTGCTCCTATCATTGTCAACTTGAACACTGGAAGCACAACTGTGCTTCCAGCTTCTGTGTTTGATTCAGGCACCGGCACTGTACTGCCATCATGCAATAGGTTTATAGATGGGTCTCTTCCTTTTACTCCAACTGCTGCATGCTTTAGCAAGTATGGGGACCTAATTTATGTTGGGAATTCCAGAGGAGAAATACTTATAATTGACTACAAGGACATTCAAGTGCGTGGAATTGTTTCAGTTCCCGGTGCTGCAGTTATTAAGAATATTGTATGCAGTAGGAATGGACAGTACCTTCTTACAAATTCAAATGACCGGACAATCAGAATTTTTGAGAATCTTCTCCCCCCAAAAGATGGTCCAAGGGCTATTGATCAACTGTGCAGTACCATAGGTGAGCTGCAAGGTGTTGAGAAGCTAAAGGCAGTCGGGTCAAGGTGCTTGGTATTTTTTCATGAGTTTCAGGATTCTGTCACTAGGATCCAATGGAAAGCACCTTGTTTCAGTGGTGATGGTGAGTGGGTTGTTGGTGCTTCTGCTAACAAAGGGGAGCACAAGATCTACATATGGGACAGGGCAGGACATCTGGTAAAGATCCTTGAAGGTCCCAAGGAAGCATTGACAGATCTGGTATGGCATCCTGTGCATCCTATTGTGGTCTCAGTTTCTTTTTCTGGATTGGTTTACATATGGGCTAAAGATTATACTGAGAACTGGAGTGCATTTGCTCCCGATTTCAAAGAGCTTGAGGAAAATGAAGAGTATATTGAAAGAGAAGATGAATTTGATTTGATGCCTGAAACTGAGAAGGTGAGAAGGGAAGACTGACTAAGTAGATTTTATTTGTTTTCTCTATTTTTGATTTTCTTAAATTTGAAGGAATAATCCACAGGTGAAGGAATCAGTTGTTAATGAAGATGAGGAGGTTGATATTATGATGGTGGAGAGGGATTCTGCTTTCAGTGATTCTGATATGTCACAGGGAGAACTTTGTTTCTTGCCAGCAATTCCCTGTCCAGATGTTCCTGAACAAGAGAAATTTATCAGAAGTGCATCAAAGTTGGCAGACAGCAATCATTCTGGATCCGCTCTTTCAGAAGAGGCAGGACAGAATGGGCAAATCACAAATCCTGCTTCAAGTCCAGTGGAAGGTAAATATAGGTTACAGTACATTGAAAATCACAATGCCTTTGATTTCAACCAGCGTTGCATGGACTCACCTAAAGTATGTCTCTCAGACGTGCTTCAGATTCTAATACTATGGCTTTTTGAGGGTCACTTCCATGTAAAGTTTTCCTTTCATCCTTGCTTGTTTGACATAAACAACTAACACAATTGATGGCATTTTCTATACAAAAATCCTACTGGCAAAAATAAAACTTCAAACATTTTTCTTTAGGTATATGCTATTAGAATTCAATATCTTTGGGCTACTTGAATAGTAAGTGCCTTTCTGAGTCCTAACAACCAACGAAAAATGTCAGAGTCCATTTTTTCCATTTTGCCAGGTCAAGTTTCCAGCCACACATTGATTCCAATTCCCATGTCTGTGTCCATGTAATACCAATTTCAACTGTCCCCTGAAATTTACATGTCTGTTGCTCCTATGTTTTCTGAACTGCCTAACTGCAAACATCATGACAAGCAGTTGTCTTTGACTAGAAATCATCTCATTCATATGTCATATGATCCTAACTATTTCACACGAGTTATATTGGAAGCTTATGAGAAAATTTTGAGCAGTCCAAGGGGGATAAGAGGTCTATACATTTAGGTGGATGTCTATAGAATAGGTGGTTGGGATCATCCAATTGAATTGACCTTTAGAGCATCTCCTATACAGTGTATCAAATTTCAGACTTTTAACTCTTTTAATATGAACTTGTAAAGATACGTGTTACACAGTTCTTTGCCTATTGAAGTTTATATTCCTTTTTTTTTTTTTTGAGTTTATGAATGTTCCTATAGTTTTTCTTTCTTTCTTTTTTTTTTTTTTTGACGTGATAACCTGTACTTTGCAGCCATAGATAACTCCATTGCAGATGATACGGGTGTAACATGCTTGAAAAGAAAGCGGAAGCCTTCTGAGAAGGGGTTGGAGTTGCAAGCAGAGAAGGGCAGAAAATCATTAACAAAGGTCAAATCATCTGGTAAGTCATCCAAAAGCAAGAATAAATCTGCTATGGGACAGGACAGAGGTATCTGTGTATTTGCAGATGATGTAACTGATGATCCAACAACTAATTCCTAATAATTCTTATGTTTTTTATTCTCTAATATGTCTTTCTTGGTCTAACAACTAATTAACATGAAAGAACTAATGGGGTAGCTGAAAGTGTAGGGAAAAGTTAAGTTTGGCTGTATAGTGATGCTTCGGTGATGCCACCCTGGAAAAAAAAATACCCCGGTAATCCATGACGGGCTAATCCTCCTCTATCCATGATTCCATGGGGATAGCTACAGCAGACCAATTCGTTTGTACATGTGAGTCGATCCAAGATTGTGGCTTATGGTTGCATTTCCAAATCATTGACAATTGACATAAAATAATAATATCTTAGGGGCCTGTTTGATTCATTGGAATTGGAATCAAAATTCATAGGAATCGGATCAGAATGGTCTATTCCTCCCATATGTTTGCTTAAGACGGGAATTGGAATTGGAATCAAGAATTAATTGAAATGGATTCTCATTGCCAAGGGAGGGGGAGGGAATGCCCATTCCCTCAAATGTGGGAATGCCATTCTGCTAGGAATGGGAATAGGATTCTGATTCCACCCAACTATACAGTTGAACCATTTCCAACATCGATTCCAGACCCTTATTCCTGTGAATCAAAGGATTTTTAATTACTACTGGACTTTCAACTCAAAATGATCCATATGTTTACTCTTATGGATCACTATAAAAATGAGTGTGCTTTTATCATCGTGAATATGAATTTCCTTGTCTTTCACGGGAGCTGTGTTTAATTCATGGAAAGTTGGATGCCTAATGTAGCACGGGGGTAATTGCAATCACCTACCTTAAGCTTCAAAAATATCCATGCAATTACTACTGAGGCTGGTTTAAAAAAAAATAATAATAATAATAATACAAATTTTATGAACAACAAAATAAATAAGAGAGTTTAAAGCATTACAGCGATTGATATAAAGGGAAATTTTGAAAAAATAAATTAATTTTTCAAAAGAAATTGGAAAAGTTTGGAGTAGTGATTGATATGAAGAGAAATCAGGTACCTTAAGCTTCAAAAATATCCATGCAATTACTACTGAGGCTGGTTTTAAAATAATAATAATAATAATAATAATAATAATAATAATAATAATACAAACTTTATGAACAACAAAAAAATAAATAAGAGAGTTTAAAGCATTACAGCGATTGATATGAAGGGAAATTTTGAAAAAATAAATTAATTTTTGAAAAGAAATTGGAAAAGTTTGTAGTGATTGATATGAAGAGAAATTTCGGAAAATAAACATTTTGGTCAAAAGTTACTATATGGATAATTTGGACATTTTCATGCCTCTTGTTAAAGGAATGTAATAGAGGAGGTCAACTTGCAATTATGTTTAGGGGTGAGCATTGTTTGGTTAAAACTGAATAGCCGAACTAAAAATTTTGGTTTCGGTTTTTTTGGTTTGGTTTTTTCGGTTTTTGGTTAAATTGGTTTGGTTTTTTGGTTTTTTGTTATTTCAGTTTTCGGTTTCGATTTTTGAAATTAGAATTTCGGTTAACTGAATTAACCAAACTTTTTATTATTATATATAATATATAATATATAATATGTACCATATAATATATTATATATATTATATATTAATATATAATATACTGAAATTTGATTTCATAATATATATTTTATAATATATAATGTATATATTATAATATATATAATAGAATATATATTATTAAAATCTGGCTTTAACCAAAAACTGAACTGAAAATTTCAGTTTTGGTTATTTCGGTTTTTCTAAATTTCGGTTTTGGTTTGGTTTTTATTTTTTTTTAATTCAGTTTTTAAAATTTTGGTTTTTAATCGAATAAACTGAATGATCAACCTTAACTATGTTAGAAAGTTCAGGGGAGGTGATTGCAATTACTAAACTTCGGGGGAGGTTTCATCAATGGCTAAAAACCTCAAGGGAGGTTTTAGCAATTTACCCTAAAAAAAGAAGCATTTGTACTTGAATTGTGTTTTTTGTGTCTCTATTTTATGAAGATTATTTTTTCCAAACCATTTGCATTTTTTTTTAAATCACATTAAAGAAAACAATTCATGTTGGAGAATACCCCTAATGTTGTGTTTGGTTTGATAGAAAATAGGAGGGAAACAGGAAGTTGAGTGAGAGTTTTTAAGGAATTTCAACAACTGTTTATCTCTTATTTTCTATCAAACCATTAGCAGATTAAATGTTTTAATTTTCTTGTAAAAATATATTTTAATTTTTCTTGGTCAAATTATGTTGTAAGACCATGATTTGTAGGGGCCATTCTTGGTGCAATAGTATAATTTTGGGTTTAGAAACAGTCTGAATCTACTCCTCGCAGAACGTTCTTCATACCAATCGCACAAGATGTCCCAACCATACATCGGGAATATCTTTGGTACTTGTGTGTTAGTATTTACGGGGAGTTCTCAATACACGTGTGAGGTGCACTATGTGGAGAACAAATCCCAATTCTGACAAGCATGAGAACACGTTTTCTAAGTCTGAAGGAAATTAAATATTTTGTACAAAAAAGAATGTCAAGAGTTTGGTATATGTAGTTACTCCTAAGACCCCAAATGATTAGGATTACCATTGGGTAATGGCCCTATCATTTATTTGATATCTCATGGGTCTTATGGTTCAAATGGATCTGATCCGATTTTGTTGGATTTGGATATCTCTATTTCGGATCTTTGGATCGGATTGGAATGGATTCGAAACACCCCATATTTGATCTGAAAAGATTTGATCCGATATATATGTAATTTATTTATTTATAAATATGTTATTTATATTGCATTTTTGTAAATTTTTTATAAAAATATGTATATAATATATAAAGAAAATAATTGACAAAATACTTGTATTTTTTGTTTTTATTTAAACTGTTATATTTTCTTTTCCTTTTAATGGTTTATTAATTTTCTTAAAAATTAAATCAGATCGAATCATATTAGGATATTAGGATATCTAATATCCTGATCAGATTCAAATTTAAATCAATATTTATGAGATCCGATCGGATCTTTGAATTAGATTGGATCGGATCTACAATGTATTGAATTAGATTCGGACATATCCTGATTCAAATCTAACCTGATCCATTTGCACCCATAATGAGTTTGATATATTTTATATTTTATGCGTTTATACCTTAGTTATGAAGTTTTCAAAATATACTATAATGCATCTCTTAAAATTGTCTTTTGTAATACACAGAGTCGACTTATAATTACCACTCTCAATTCAGCTCATATCTATGGGCAATACTGAAGCCTTTACAACACAAAAGGGCATAATTAAGGCTGCAACCTAGGCCAAGTTCCTAAAACACCATATACTATGTTCTTGTACTTATAATAATAATGCCAAAAGTAAATTATCCTTAATTGAACAACAATACTTTAAGCCAAAGAAGAAAAAAGAAGAAGAAATCAGGCTAACTTGAATTCAACCCAACCTAATGACTAGGGGTTGGGGTTTCAACAACTTGCATTGAGTTAGGATTGACTCAACTTGACCTAACCCAGTCCTTTTGCGCCCCTACATGTCCTAAACAGTAAATAGGGGCTTTCACGTGTTAATATGTTTTGTAGCTCTGGCCCTACTATGGTTTTGATTTAGGCCTTGTTTGGCATGTTTTTTCGTGTGGGCTATCAGCTTTTTAGAAGCCCGATAGCCTACATTTTCGACTTTTCTCATTTGATTGGGAAAAAACCTAGTTGCCAAAAGACATTGTACCAAAAAGACGTGCAAAGCCTATTTTTGGCGATTTTCAAGAAGCTCAAAATGGAGCTTTTCAGTTATTTTCAACTCGTCTTCATGCGGAAAGACATGCCTTAACCAATCAATCTTCAGGCTGTCAAGATCTTAATGCAAAAACTCACTATGTCTTTTAACTCCAGAGCTTCTAGAAGATCTTTTGAAAAAGACTTGCCAAACAGCCCCTTAATTTGTGCTCATGGTGGAGGGATGATCATGGGCAAGGCCGGGTTTTGATAGTGTGTTAAGAATCTTTACGACTACTTGAGCTTGACTTGGCTCGCACCTAGGGCTTGATAATTGCTTGATAGTATGTGTTCAGGCCTAGGCTGGGTTGGGTATTTCTCCATGAATGATAACATACAAGTACAGGAGATGTTCTCAATTCATGGATGAAATTGCTGGGAGAAAATCTAGATTCCCAAAGTACAAGGTAAGTGCCTATAATTTATCATATAAAATATTTATCATAGTAGTGTAAGGTCACCTCATATGCATTTGTGTAAGTAAGAGGGCAAAGATATAATTTAGACATTTATATTCGAGCTTGGTATGATCATCCGTGTTGCTTACTTCCTTGTCGCATTGTAGCGTAGACTTGATCAAATTCCATTGGCACAGAATCCAGATTTGCTCCTCCCAAAACGCTCTTTACACCAACCTCACAAAACTTGGAGCTGCACATCTGAATGATTTCCATACTTGTAAGTTGCCATTCATGAGGATATGTTCCTAAGGCTCAGTTTGGTAAGAGTACAAATACAAATTTGTAAACTGCAAAACCTTGTATTTTGTATATATTTGCACTGTATATATTTGTATTTGTACTTCTTCCAAACTGAGCCTAATGCACAGTTACAACATATTGTGAGGCAAGTTTTGTGAGCAAATCTGATTTCGTCAGCACTAAGGATGAGCATGGGTCAGTTCGATTCGATTCCATTGTAAAACCCGGAACCTACCCTGTACGGGTCGCTTCCAGATTTTTGGAACTGGAACCTACCCTATGAAGATCGGTTATGGCCTTGGTAGTTCTGGGATCAGTTCTAGGGTCTACATGTGGAACATATTCTATCTTCTTAAAAAAATGAAACATTCTCTTTAAAACTTGATTTTCAATAAATATAATATAGTTTAAAACTTATATTATCTTTATTGGTTAAATTGAGTAATTTAATATGTAGATTACCATAATATATTAATATATGATTCAAAACTTATAATTTAAATTTTGCAAACATTACCTTTTATAATACTTATTATACACATTCAAATATTAAAATGAAAAAAGATGATCAAATCACTTAAGTAATTCAATGATCGAGTGAGACAATAACCTTTATAACCATGAGCATTTGGTTTCAAATCTTCACATCCCAAAAGTATTTTGGGTTTATTTCATTCAAGGCCGATTTACTTAAGGTTAGTTCCACTAAAGTTGGTTCGGGTATAGTAAAACCCTAGACATTGGGATCAGCCTAAGTGAGGATTGATTTCAAAAATTTGGAATTAAACTCTACTATGTAACAAATCGGGTAGGGTCAATTCAAGCCTAATTGGAGATAGATTTGTGACAAATGAAAGTTTAGGGAAGTAATTATCTCTCACCCAAATAGCAGAGGGAGGTCTTTGTTCCAACTGAAATTTCATGGGGGTAATTATCACCGACTTCATATTAAAAGAGAGTATTTGTATTTTACCCTTTAATTAAATCGTAATTTAATCAAAATATAATACAAAATTTGAACTATATATGTATATTATTATTAAAAATAAAATTTTAAAGAATAAATTTGTTTTTGAAAGAAGTAATAAAAGATAAGGTTTCACGGATTAATCCTAAAAATCATACCGACCCTAAAACCAAGGTCACAACCAGTCAACCACCGACCCTAAAAACCGACCCGAATTCGTCAGCATGCAAATTCCATAAAAAGTTAAAAGCGCTTTAAGGGTTTATTTGGCGTGCCTTTCCATTTGGTTTTTTGGCTGTTTATAAGTTTAGAAAACCAAAAGCCGGTCTATTCCTATTTGACATGTTTGGAAGATTTCGCTGCTAAAAAATAAGGCACCGAAAAGATGTAAAAAATCCATTTTAGGTTGATTTCAAAAAATTTTAAATGAAATTTTCCACATCTTCCATATTTTAATTTTGCATGAAAAGACCTAAAATGATATACGAAAAGATGCACTCTACCAAACGGTTTTTAGAGGTCAATACGTTTTTTGACTGTAAAAACTATAAGAAAATCTTCTCAAAAAAACGCGCCAAACGGAACCTAAATTTCCGGATGAGATGCCAGTCTTTTAATAGTGAATATACAGGCCTATATGCGGAAACAGTTTTCTGTCGTTAGATTGGGATCTACTCGAGAGCAATCAGATATAATATAATATAAGATCAGATGATATAACGAACATATATATATTTCATGCACGAACAGCGGAACGAAGCAGCGATAGACGATAAACGCATGTTTCTCCGTTCCTCTCTGCATCCCTCCGGCTTTTTCTGCAAACAATCCTCCACTAGGTAAGGTAGGAGCCTGTGAGGGTTAGTAGAGGAAGAAAGGATAGAGATGGATGGTAGGAGAGATGGTGAAAGAAGAAGACTAGAGATAACTATCCTCGACTAGGTAAGAGGGTTAGTGGAAAGAGAAGGATAGAGATGGTGAAATACTTAAGATATTGAAATTGAATAGAGACCGAAAGATTCGTGAAGTTGTATAAGGCTATAAGCCTCTTTAAAACCCAACTATCTTCCTTTCTCCGCCGGAACGCTGATAACTTTCCGTCATCGATTAGAAATGGAAAACAGAAACGAAGAAGAAGAGCTCGACTTGCTTTTGGGCGAGATCACGTTCGCCGAATCCCCAATTTTACGTGATAACCGTTCCTATCTCCTCCATCAACAACTCCCTCGCCGCAACAATTCATCCGTAAATGCAATCCAAACCCTCACCGGTCCGTCTCTCGAGTCGGCCTTTGGTCGTCTCAATCTTTCCACCGCCGCTTCTTCTCAACAGTCTTCTTTTCGTTCCATTGTTCCCCGCGGTTACGATGGTGTAATCGGAAATCCTATGACAAATTCAACCTCGATCGGCCAGGGACTCCTGCATTTGTCCTTTCAGCAGATGCAACAAAATACAATCGATTTGCATCGATTGAGACTTCAAGATGCCGTTATGGGGCAAACGACTGCGTTTATGCGTGGTACCCCTACTCTCCGCGCTGAAACTTCCAACAGTTTCCCACTGAATCGATCCACTTCAACATTTTTGAGTAGAGAAGGAGAAGTCAAGGCGGCTGCATCAGTTACGTCATTCGAAAATGGATATAGGGAACCTTTTTATAATTGTTATTCTAGGAATCAAAGCTGCTTTAAGCTTAAAAGACCATCTCCCAGAGAATCCATCAACTGTTTCCTGACCAGGCCCTGTTCTAACGGAAACGGGTTCCACCTAGACTCTGAAGCGCATTGCGGAGGAGGAGTGATAAATGGGTCGTTGTTTGAATCGGAGAATTCAAATGCAGACCAGAACCCATATTGTAATCGCCATTTTCAACAGTACTTATCTTTGGAAGAATTAAGGGGACATATATTGGAGGTGGCCAAGGATCAACGTGGGTGTCGATTCTTGCAGAAGAAATTTGAGGAGGGAAACGAAGAGGATATCAAGATGATCTTCTCGGAGGTTAAAGACCACGCAAACCAATTAATGGTGGATCCATTCGGGAATTACCTCGTTCAGAAGCTTATAGAAGTATGCAATGTAGAGCAGAGAACAGAAATTCTTCACGCCGTTACCAGAGAGGAATTCGAACTTGTTACTATATGCCTTAATCCTTACGGGTATCATTTGATCCTTGTTACTGTTTAAGAAAAGTGCGGAACATATATCTCTAGTGGAATTCGCTATAGAGTCTTTACTATGAAATCAAGTCAGGTTTCCATGAGATAAATAACTATATTTTTTCATCCTATTGTTGCAGAACTCGCGCAGTTCAGAAATTGTTGGAGCATCTCACTACTCCGCAGCAGATTTCCCGCGTCATGTCAGCTTTGAGGCGTGGTGCGGTCACTTTAACCAATAACACAAATGGCCATCATGTGATTCTGCATTGCTTGACGCATTTCTCCCACGAAGACAATAGAGTAATATTCCATTTCATCCCGGCCTAGATACACATAACTTTTTATTCACTTATATCACAATGGATTTCCGTGCACTTTGCCTTCTATCGCGCCGCACTTTGCATGTTCTGTAGCTACTTTTTGAGACTTCTCTTTTGTTGATAACAGCATCAGTTTAATGGCTACCATCGTCACTATGTCTCTGTTTTTATTCTTATTTATATTATAATTCGTTTTGATATGCTGCACAGCAAAACCACTCGAATATGTAGGTGTTCTATTTATAAGTATGTCTCTGCCACTTTTGTTTGTTGTTTAAATACAAAGTAACATCTGTATGGACAATTGTAGGCTTTGACAAGAGGGATTTTATTTTTTTAATAATATGGTCACAACTGATTGGAAAGGTGTGTAGTACTGGTTATATTGCTAGAATATCTAGTAACCTTTAGCTGTTTGCAAGTCGATTTGAATTCCACGTAATTGGATTATTGGAAGCCTCATCATGCAGGATACTAGTTATCCAGGTGCTTCAGGTTACAAGTGAGCAGCCATTTGAACCGATATATACTCTGAACACAGTCTTCTCATCTTTTGTTTTATTTTTTTCAATGAAATTAATTTTATCTGGATTAATATTCATTATTTTCTTTTGTGAAGTTTTTGGATCATGTGACTGACCTAATGTTTGGTTCACGGAAAGGAAATAGGGGTCTGGAATCAATGGCATTCCTCCATTTGAGGGAATGGCCATTCCCTCCCCCTCCCTTAGAATGAAATTCTATTTCAGCCTGTTTTAATTCCAATTCCATTTACTGTTTGAACCAAACAGACTATAGGAATAGGCTATTCCGATTCCAACTGTAAACCAAGTGGTCCCTTAAAGTTTTTGCAACATCTGCCATTTATACTTACATTACTTGGAACTATATTTTGGTGTTCTTTCACAGGAGAGCCTTAACATTTGTGAACTGTAGCATATTCAGGTAATTTATATTACATTTTTTTGCTGAACAGCATGAGCTTGAGAGAACAATTACAACTTTTGGTTACATGATAGGGTTTTCAGTGTTGTATGCAACAGTTTTCAGGTATTGTCATTTGTGAAAAATTGACATATCATACTTTCAGACCAAACATTTGTCATCTCTGGAGCCTTTGGCGTTGGGAAAAAAATGAAGTTGCAAATATTATTAAATCTTTGAGATCCTCTTATTTTCCTCAAATTTGAGATGTACCCTCTACACCTAGTGGGAGATCATTTGAGATGTCTCTTTGTTTTTTGTTGTTCGAGGTTGCTATTAAGTCTTGAGGACCTACAATTAGGGAGATAATAGGAACTTGCCTATGGGAGATCAGTGCCATTTCTTTTGAAGCTTTCATAATTATTGCACAAAAGAGTTTCTTAAGCTGCACCATCTTTTCATGTTGACGTCCCAGTCATAGTTTTTGATTAGTTGGAGATGTTATATAACAGATACTTGATAAACTTTCTTTAGACAATAGCTTGGAATGAGAGTTGTTTATATTTATAGCTTATACACATCATAGTATGTATGGCACCACCTCATTTAATCAACTTGAACAAGTAAGTCACCTTTGTAATAAAGAAGGTAACCAATTTCTTCCCAAGGAAGTACCAGAAGAAGTGGTTGGAAGTACATATTAATTTTTTGTTATTTTTGGAACTTTTTTGTCTGATATATTAAAACAAATAATCGCTTTGGAGTGTTTTGGTACAAGTTGAATGTTCTAACAGGTGACATGACCTTATATGGATTAAAAAAAATGGAGGGATGGAGTTTCTACCACTGACCCCATTTAGGTGGGTTAAAGCAGATCCACTTATTAGGGTTGGTAGATTTTTTCCATTTCTCTCCATTCTTTTATACTTCCTAGACATTATCACATTATTATTGCTCTTCCATTCACTTGTCAAGATATGGTTTTGAAAAACCATACCTTGTGTTGAAAAGGTATGGTTTCTTTGATTTTTAAATATTTGTGAAAAGAGAGCAAAAGATACATATTTACAAATCATAGGTTTTATAGAACTATTGCTGCATTTGATGGATCTAATGTGGCTTAGTGAAGGGTATCAATTTTGAATCTGTATGAAAGGTGTCAGCTCACATGGTATGCCGGTTTGTCAATTTGACAAATCTTGAAAGTAGAGTAGGTAAGTGAACAGGATCAAACAGAACATTGCAAAATGAAATGGTTACCTTAAAGGAACCCAAAGGAAGATAATTGTAAATAGCAAATTTTCTTCCTAGGGAAAAACAACAGAGGAAAGTAAATCAAGTTGGTTTATTTCCAGTAGTTCCGTTAGCCGAGTTTCCTAGATGAGAGTCCTTTAAATACACTTTGGGTTCCAGAATCACATAGGATGTACCCTGAACTGGTGTATTTTGTTTGTTAAAGTGTCATCAGATGAACAAATTTAGATCATGGACATAATTACAAGAGGAACCCAAAACATCAGCTAAATGATTTATATCAAGCCAAGATGAGTAATACCTCAAATTATCCATTTGATATAGAGTAACCAGAATTTGGTCGACATTTGCCCATTCCCTCCCAAAAGGCTGTCCATGATGGTGAATTTAAGCAACTATGAGGCTCAAGTTCATCACAACCAGAAGATGAGGAAACCCCTCCTAGAACTCCTCGGATCTCAGATGTAATGTATCAATGACATGAGTGGTAGGAGCAGCATTGTCCTGGAGTGCCTGGCCATATGGATTCCCCAAGGACACCTTCAAACTCATATGATGATCCTCCATATAGGAGTGGTAAAAAGGATGATAAGATTCATTTAATGGTAGACTCCAATGACATTGTTGTTGAAGTTAAACATGGTATTGATACCTAACTTGGATCCCCACGTTTGAGAAAACCTCAATTATGGACCTCAACCACCAAATATGAGACTAGAATCAGTGGAGGACTTTGTTTTGAAAAAAAAAACTTTACTTATTTTCTAACCACGCATGGTAAGACATTTTATTGTCTTGGTTTGGAATTTTTTTTATCAATGTCTTGGTTTGGAATCTTTGGACTATGACACTCAACTTAGCAAAAGCCTTACCTGACTACATATATGGGTCGACTACAAGAATCCTTTTTTGGCATTCCACTCTATCAAGGGCCAGATTCATTTTTTTTATTGGTGACAATCAAATTTTATTAATATATGATCATAATATACAAATTTACAGGAGGAATTTAGAGCAGTACATACAGTCTACCCCGAATTTCTTACATAGTGTCCCTCTTGGAACCTCACCCCAAATTTACAAAAGGGCCAGATTCAATGTTAAACAGTTAGACCTCAAATCCTTTCTCACTACCTCAATCCATGTCCTTTTGGCCTGTGTCTGTCCCTCACTCTTTTAGACACTTCCATTTGTGTTAGATTACTTCTTACTGGTGCAATGGATGATCCTTTATATACATGTCAACCATCGTAGTCTACTTTTCCTGATTTTGTCACCTGAGGGGCTATTCCGAGATTCATAGGAATATACTCATTTCTAATCTTATCCTTTCTAGTTTTACTGTTCATCAATCTTAACGTCTGCATCTCCACCATATTCATTTTTTGGAAATACTGCTTCTTGACTTGTCAACATTCTGCTCCATGCAACATTTCTAGCCTCAGATTTGGACCATGATACCTCTCCTTGTAATTCTGATCAACTTAAATCAACACTAGAATCTAATGAAGAATTTGTATTGAATGTCTTTAGTGGTTTAATATCTCCTAAATCTGGTTGGTAAGGCAACACCCATAGAAAATGAGATGACTGGACTCAAAGTGATTGATTAGATATTACTTATTTCTTTGAAGCACCTTATAATGTCTCATTCTATCTTGATATGAAGTCTGCCTCCACTAACAGTTAATCTAGTAACAATGCTATGACCATTTATATTATTGGTGGAAAACTGGACCAGTCAACTAAATATTTCCTTTCCTTTCTCTCAAGGATCTCTATGTTATCTATCTACTCGAGTTAGACATCAAATGTTAATCTTTACAATTGGAGTCTCTGTTAATCATGATTTAGTGGTGGTTTAATAATTGTATATCGAATGTGACCCAACAAAACATCCAACATCCATGCCTCATCCCAACTATGGGGTTGGCCACAGGAATCCTGTTTCACCCATCCATTCTATTTAATGTCGTATCATATTGAATGTGGACTTGCTAAAGTTATTCCAATTGATTAGGTTTTAAATGTTGTTTGTCTTTGCCAGTATCTTTTGAATGCAGTAGCAGATCACTCTGTTGAGATTGCAACAGATCGCAGTGGCTGTTGCGTATTGCAGCAATGTTTAGCACATGCCAAGGGGGAACCTAGGGAGCGCCTTATTGCTGAAATTACTGAAAATGCATTGCTTCTATCACAAGATCCTTTTGGGTTTGTCATCATAACCTTTTCTACATTCTAAATCATTTTTTCACAACACAGTTTCTACACTTGCATTCTTAATTTGAGATACTTTATCTTCTTTGGTTTAGCAACTATGTAGTGCAGTACATACTGGATATGCATATACCAAATGTTACGGAGAATATACTAAATCAGCTTCATGGAAGTTTTGTGTCCCTCTCTTTGCAAAAGTTTGGGAGCCATGTGGTGGAGAAGTGTTTGAAGTATTCAGGAGTAGAGCAATCTACACGGATTATCAGGGAGTTGCTTAATAGTCGTGACTTTTTTATGCTTCCGCAGCATGAATATGGAAACTATGTTGTCCAGTCTGCCTTAATGGTATCCAAGGTTAGATAATCCATACTATCCAACTATGCATATGTACCCTCTTCTTAAATGTGATCTAGAAAATAGGTTTCATATCCTTTTTAAATCTTTAGGGATCAGATTTAACATCTTTGGTTGTTATATGGCCTATATTTGTTCTATAAGCTACAGAGCTGTATATCTGGGGTCTTCATGAAATAGGATAGGATCATTACCCAGTCAGATCTACATTAACATCAACCCGTTTAGGTTATCATAATTCTTTCGATAGACTTTGTTTTTGAACCATTTGACATGTCTTTAATATTTCCACAATGGCCATAGTATATTGTGTACCATTTCCTGGTTTTTGATATTGACTCATGTATCCTTTATTGAAACAACAGGGGCATATCCGTTCAGCACTTATTGCTAGTCTGGTTCAGATGCATTTTCCTTCCATGTGTAGCAGTCCTTATGGGAAATGGATCATGCAATGGATCAACGCAAACAAGTAAGCAACAGATAGAAACATGTACAATGAGAGATGTAGGATTGACAACAATTTGCTGAGAGTTGCAAGGCTGGACTTGTTTTGGTAGGTTGAAGGAATGGGTTTTAATCATCTTGAGTGTTGTCATCTTTATTTCTTTATTTTTGGTTGTTTGGTTGTCATTTCTAATTGCTGTATAGGGGGTGAGGTAGAATATTAAGACACTGGGAGAAGGGGGAAACTGGAGTGAGAGGGTGGAGGTGTTGGTCTTCAATTATGTATACAAGCCTTTATAGGGGATGTAAAGAGATGGAGTGTTATTCAAACTGTATATTCCCAGAGCTTCACATTGTTGCTTGTTATACAGTAAACGTACAGTCAAATTATTTCATATATATTTAAATGTTCCATCATGTGTTACATGAATTTATGTTCCATGTTCAACAACTCCAGAATTTTCTTTGAAGGTTGGATTTGCTTTCATCACATGAGCTGTGAGTGTATAGCTGCACTTTGTTCATCATATGATTTTTATACTGTCATTAATATTCAACATGTTCTTATAGGGGTGAGGTGATGGGGTGGTCTGTTGACTTGTTTCTCTGTTACTTTTTCTTTCTTATTAGTTTATTACGCTTCATTCCTACTTTGTTGTTTTCTTCCATTGAATTTCTCCGTGGGGTGAGTTCATTCATTTGGAGAGTTTTCTTTAGATTACTAAATTAATGACAATTTCATAACTTTTGGTGATTGTACTTTTGATAAATTTGAGTCTTTTAAGATTATTTTCTATTTTTTCTTGAGTTTTACAATTTTGAAAAGTTAAAGGGTCATGTTCACTTTTATTCAGCTTATTTCTTAAGGGTCAAAAAATGTTCATTTTGCTTGATCTTGGTTAGAGGCTTTTTAGTGATCTCATCAAGACCAACCTTGATGTCTTTGGGAAAGTCTTCTCAAAATAATAGCTTAAATCTTCCCTCTTCGGTAAAATAGGTTTTTCCGTCTACGATCTCCCCATTTGAAGGAGCTTTAATATTGGGAAGGTAGATTACTGATAAGAAATTAGTTTCTAACAAGTGTCTAAAATATATGAAGAGGTCTAATGGAAGAGGCTGGGTGTGTAAATTAAATCTGGGAAAAGTGCATGGCTTTGTGGAATGGTTATTCTTAGATCTTGTGGTAGAATGTTGTAACTTGTAGATCAAGGGCTACTTATAGACCTGCCATCATTATTCAATCTTAGTCAATGGAACAAAATAAAGATTTTTTCTTTTTCTTGCAAAAAAGACTTGGGCCAGATAGATTTGGGTTGATTAGGGGGGTTCAGAGTTAAGAAAGAGAGGATTGTGGTCACCCACTTATAGTTTTTAGATGACATTATTATTTTCTATGGGGGATAGGGGTGAGAAAGGAATTAGGAGTGAAATAGCTATGTGCAGGAGGAAAGGAGGAGGGCTGGGGTTAGGAAACTCGGTCCTTAGGAATTTCTTTGTTGGGTAAATGGTTATGGAGATTACTTTTGGACATGGATAAATTGTGGCAAGCTGTGATGAAGAGAATTATTGGACATACAAACTCATGGTGATAGAAACATTACAGTTATCTAGGGAAGTGTGGGCAACTTTTATTTAGAACCGAAGGTCAGCCAATAGCTTAGCTGATGCTTTAGCTAAACAGGGGGTCAACAGAAGAGATTTGTTTTGGGGGTTATCCCCCCCTGCCCACCACGAAATTTTTTGTAACTGATGCCGTCTGAAACTGGGAAGGGGCAGGTAGCCAGGGGCTACTGTAATTCTCTTAAAAGGGGTGCTTGGTACACTTATAATGTATCCCGTTCTTTTTCATTAACTAATAGAAGCTCCCAGTTACCAGTAAAAAATGAGCCTGGATCCTTGTAAATCAACTTTTGGAAGAGAAATAATAAAATGGATGTTTTCAAGTTTGTTTGGTGCTAAAGATCATTCACATAAGAAAATGGGAATCCTTGTCCTTTCATATTCAGTTGTTAGAAGAACTTTTCCAAATAGATGAAAAATAAAAAGATGGACCACCTTGATATTGGGTTCTTATACTGCCATCTTTCTGTGCAATTTTTTTCCAGGTCTGTTTATGAGCATATATACCATATGAGAATGAGATCAGCGTCACCTGGCATTTCTCCACCCGTTTAATAGGAATTGGACTACAAGTGTTGAATAAAAATAAATAAGAGAATATAGAAATTACAGTGGGGATGATACTGACTTACCTGTCCTCTTCTAAGTTGTGGTGTTCTGATCATTCATTCCTTGTTTTGGGCATTGCATGCACCTTTATTATTTTCAAATTTTAGAATTGCATAAAAATAATTCTCAAGGCAAAGTCCAAACATCACAACATGTTGAACTCACAGTTTGCACATTATATTTAGCAAAGATTACTTAACTGCACATTTTATAACCCCCTACCCTATGCTCATTTGTCTCCCTCCCTTTCAAAGTTTGCACATAGATCTATTTTTGATTATTTTTTTAGATTAATGCCAGTCTTTCACTTGTTTCACACAGTATAACAGCTAAATGGACAATGTAAATCCTCACTAGCAATGATGTGCCATGGTGACACTGTTTTTCTGCAGAGGATGCTATCTTTAGGTGGCAAATATTTTCACCGACTAAACTTTTTTTTTTAATAGTTTTGCCTTTAAAGCTGATGTGCTCTTTCTGAGCATGACTACCGTTTTCGATACAGTGATTGCTTACTTATTTCGATGTATCTTTGTTTTTGGTAATAGTGTAAATATTTCAACTGCAATAAATGAACATAATAAAGAAAACAAATAAAAGCATGCGTACCCAAGTAATTTGACCATTTCTTTGTGCCTGTGTCAATGGAATGGAGGAGTTGCAAATTGAATAGAAATACCTCGAATGCTATGAGATTGAAACATGAATGTTTGGTAGCCATTTTAATGGAGCTATCCAGCCAAATTTCTCAGACGGTAGTGGGAAAGAAAATTTCAAGATGCTCTGATACTTCTATGTGGTGATCTATTTCTCCCCCCTTAAAAGATCTCACAATCTACTGGTATTACCAGATAACGGAGAATCAGATCATTCAGATGAACTAAACTTGATGGCTGTTTTATGGGCTGTGGCCTGTGGGACCAAATCATTTTGCTCCATGATGGCCATAAATGCAAAGGAGAGAATGTGTGGTTGTGGAAACATTGGATTTGCTCCTCACACCATCCTCATAGCACATTGCAGTTGTGTATTAAGAACATCTTCCCATGAATGACTGCATACAAGTACGAGAATAACAACTTCGAGTTCAATTACATAAAAATATATTTGTTTTTTATTTTTATTTAAAAAATGAAATATCTTAAAACCCACTCCCTTCTTGAGGTGCCTTTCTTCAAATTAAACCTTGTACCCATGTTTACAATGAAGCCAAACTGTCATTATCTTGAGAACATGTGAATCACCCAGGTCTTCTCAGTTCTCATGGTTCTCCGGCATAAGGATTCAACCCCCTTTTCTCTCCATTTTCTCTCTTTCCCTCTTTCTCACCTAACCCATCCAAGAAAACCAGTCATAGCCACTGCCGCTGGTATAAACAATTGCAGTCGTGGACAACCGTAATCCTCGAACAATTGCAGACGAGGTCAGTAAACCATTGACTCGAAAGGTTGAACCGTTTGAACCGTTTAACGGTTTTGATTATTTTTTACTTTTTTTTTATTTTTTATTTTTTTGTCAGAATGGGCCGTTCGTTCGGCTCAAATGGTCGGACCGTTCAATCTAGGAACCGAACCCCTAATCGGTTCGTTGTCCGAGTCAGTTTTAAAAACCTTGCTACAACCTACAAGTGTTGTGAGGACCAAATTTGTTAAGATGAAATCTAGAGGGGTGATCATTTCAGCATGGTCTGAAATTTCTGGAGTTGGACTTAGGCCTCATTTTGTGTCCAGGCTTGGCCTAAGGCTGCACTAGGCATGCAAATTTTAAAGCCAAGTTTGGCTCAGGCTTGGCCTAGGGCTGCACTAGGCATGCAAATTTTAAAGCCAAGTTTGGCTCAGGCTCGAGCCTAGCCTGCATATGTTATATGTATTTTATATATAATCTATTCTATATATAAAAATGTGAATGTAGAGTGTAATTTTTTTGAACTAAAATTACCCTATATTTCTTTGTTTGAGAAATAGTATAAAAGTCATTTTATTATAGTTTTAATGGCTATTAAAATGTCCATATTTGTGTATTTAGTCAATCTCTAATTGTGATGGTTGAAAATATAACTTTAATTATTACTTTCTACCTCATTTAATCCCCTTTCATTAAGTTTTATACTTAAGGTATTAATTCATGTTTTATCTTATTAAATCATATATTTAAGTCATTTTTTAGTAATAAATGCTACTAATTAGATCCATGTCAATATTTTTAACAATATAAACCCATATATTTTAAAATTGACTCAAAAACAAAACCATTCTTATCCAAATGGTGACCAAGCAATTCAACCATTCGAATCAAATTGATCAACCTTTAAAGGCATAGTTAGGTAATAAAATTTTTAAAATAGAAATAAATATAGAAAATTACATAAGTGTAGAAAATATTAGACACATTTATGATATTTTTATTAATCAAATTAAAAAATAAGTGTAAAAAAAAAGAATTATTTTTATTGATAATGAAAATGAATTACATAATTTAGAATTGACCAAAAAATGACATTATTTTACTGTTTGGCAAAGATCAATAGTTCAATTTTTGGGTCAAATGTGTTAACATTTAATGTCATAAATAAATAATAAAAATTAATAAAATATATAAATATATAAATTTTGCAAAAAAAACATTCAGGCACATGTATAATATCATA